TCTCTCTCTCTCTCTCTCTCTCTCTCTCTCTCTCTCTCTCTCTCTCTGAGACAGGGTTTCTCTGTGTAGCCCAGACTGTCTTGGAACTCACTCTGTAGACCAGGCTCAAACTCAGAAATCCGCCTGCCTCTGCCTCCCAAGTGCTGGGATTAAAGGCGTGCGCCACCACTGCCCAGCCCTTTTTTCCCTCTTAAATGAATTCAAGGCAAGTGACTCAAGACAGTCTGCGCAGGGACATAGCGCAGTGGCTGGGATACTTGGCCAGCCTGCCTGAGATGACGCTAGGTCCAATCCACACTAAGACAAAAATAAAAACATTCCAACAAGAGGACACAACCCAAAGAGAAGCTCCCTTGACACTCAGATACTGAGGAGCAGTGACAGAAAACATTGTTTCCTGTAATTAGACGACTGTATTTCCACAAGAACAGAAGCCCTTATAGACACATTTCAAAAACTGTAATTTTTTTTAACATATCTTCACTTCTTTACATTTTTTTAAACTTTAAGAATACTTTGAGTGTGTCTATGTGTATGTGTGTGCATGGTAGCTAGAGGCTGAGGAGGCAGGGTCTTTCCCCAATCCCACTACTCACTGATTCAGGGAGTGGCTGCCTAATGACCCCCCAGGTTCGGCCTGTCTCTACTACGCCATAGCGCTTGGATTAAAGGTACACACCCACAAAGCAGCCGTTACATGGCTGCTGGGATCTGAACTCGGGTCCTCACACGTGTACAACAAGCACTTGGTTGTTTGAGCATCGCCCAGCTCCTGCTTTAACTTTTAGTATTTAAGTCTGGTTTGGTTTTTTGTTTTTTTTTCTTGTTGTTGTTGGTGGTGGGTTTTTTGTTTTGTTTTGTTTGAGTGGTGGTGTTTTGTACAGAGCCTGAGCTAGCCTCATACTTGGGGTGATCTTACTACTTCAGCTCCCCCAGTGCTGTAGAGTGTGCTCTAGTTATCCCTACCTTAAACCTCTCATTTCAAGATGAAGTTAAAAACTTCAAAGCTGAGGCAGGAAAACTAAAAAGTTCAAGTCCTGCTTGAGCAAGAGTGAATTCAAAGACAGCCTGCTGAGAACTTATCTTAAAAAGAAACAAAACAAACGGAGAGCTAGCATAATCTTAAGAGCTACAGAGACTTGTCTAGCACACACAAGGCTTTCACTTCAACTCTTAGTACTCAAACAAACAAGCATCAATCTTCAGGGAAAAGCCACGTGTCAGAAAGAGGCACACTTACCGGATCAATGCCAAATGGATACGGGCCACCAAAAACTCCAGGGATAGCTGGGTTCAACTGGAGAACAGAACTCCCCAGAAGCGTCTCTTCCCTATTTTGTTAGAGAAAGTCATATTTATTTTTGATTGAGAAGAGGAAACTACTCAGTTTAAAAACTAAGCACAAAAGAAACGACTACAGCTATCTCAACTCCTCAGTGAAAATGAAGGAACTAGGCGCTGGGAGAGATGGCTGAGATGGAGTGTGTTTGCCTGACAATCATGGAGACCAAAGTTTGGATCCCAGAACCTGCATAAAAGCCAGGCGGGTGTAGCAGCTCTTATGGCAGGTGGAAACAAACAAGCTAGCTAACCAGCCTAGCGGAATGGCAAGACACAGGCTCAGGAAGAGACCCTGAAGCCTCCATGTGTAAGGAGAACATCAGTTAGGAAGACAAGCAGCGTCAACCTTGGGCTTCCACAACACACACATGCATCTCTACACAATCAACACACACACACACACACACACACACACACACACACACGAGCACAAAAAAAAAGAAGAAGAAAAGGGGAATTAGTAGTTAAGAACAAGAGGGAATCAAACATAAAGAAAAATTAAGGGCTGGAGAGATGGCTCAGCGGTTAAGAGCACTGACTGCTCTTCCAGAGGTCCTGAGTTCAGTTCCCAGCACCCACATGGTGGCTCACAACCATCTGTAATGGGATCAGATGCCCTCTTCTGGTGTGTCTGAAGACAGCTGCAGTGTACTCATATAAATAGAAAAAAAAGAAAAAAGGGAAAAATTAAGTATTAATACATAACTAAGTAGGGTATTTAGGTAACTTGCTTTTAATTAACAAGCCAATAAGTAGATAGATTACATTAATTTATAGGCTCAGATCCTTGATTTTTGCTGAACAAGTCATAAAGTCTTTCCCAGACTGGAGTATAAATAAGAGGAGACAGTATGTCCTTCTGAACCAAACATTTTCAACTGCTTCCTGATGGGTGTTAGTTTACTGCTGGCCCTAGTCAGATCTGAATGAGCAAGGAATTAGCTTTGGCTTTTGGCTTCTGCAACTTACGTCCAGTTCCCTAGAGTGAACATTGGCCGTACACTCCATGATGACCCAAAGATATTCAGAGACTTGGAAAAACAGTCATTGTAGATGAGTCCAGTATAGATGGAGAACAGTCCCATCAGAAGAATAATGTATCGGCCGCTGAACACCATGCTAAACATCTGGGAGCCAGAGGAAACCGGTTACAAGAGTGAAGTATGGCAGTGTCCCGTGTGACAATGCTACTTACACCAAGCACACAGCAGCCCACCCCATCCTGGCTCTGAAAGCTTCAGCTACCAACCAAAACATAAGGCTAAGATGGTTGGAGAAGCAGCTCAATGACAGAGCACTAGCCCCAGTGAAGTCAAGGATCACCCCCAGAACCACAAATGAAATAAGAAAAATGCTAAAATAAATTCACTGGCCCAGCACATGGCTTCTTCAATATTTAAACAACTTTCTATTCCCTTTCTGTAACTTCATGGACCTTCTGATCATGACTTTCATCACAAATGCTGGAGAGAGCACACCATCCAGTCCAGTGCAGGGGTCACTGGAACAGTACCTCATTCTCGTTCTTCTGGGAGAGGATCCGGCTCTCCCTCAACACCATCCACACAGCAAACAGCGTCATCAAAATGCCGTGCCCAAAATCTCCGAACATCACAGCAAACAGAAAGGGGAAGGTGATGACGGTGTATGGAGCTGCAAAGGAGCCGGAGGGGAGGACGTGAGGTCACGTGAAGGCACGAGTCCCCGTGAGCCCCATGTGCCTCATCCTGTCTGTACTCTGAGGTCGCAGTGGGATGCTTATTCCTGCATGCTGCATGAATAGACCCCTCTCAGGAAAATCTCCCACAGTGAGGTCCACACCCTCACAGGGCAGCTGACGGCCGTCTGCTACAGCCGACTCTTCACACTAAGCGGACAAAGGGAAACAGAGAGCCCTGACAACACTAGCCTGTTGTTTTCTTCCCTTCCTTCAGCCTCGGGACTCTGCTCTGGACTAGGCCAGCTGTCGCCTCTCTGTGCAGCAACCACTTCTGAGCTGCAGGCTAAAAATGAATGCTCAGACTCTTGAATCAACAATTAACTGAACACAGGAGACCCCTGACTTGTGCTGAAAACAGTTCCTATTGCTGTTTTCTGTCTAGCCTCAGGATAGGGAAACCAAGAAGTCATTCTAGAATAGAAGAGAACTTGAAAAGAGCATGTTTAAAGCAGTTCTCCCAAAGCTAAGTGTGTGTTTGGTGGGGGTTTTTTGAGACAGGGTTTCACTGTGTAGCCTTGTCTAGCTTAGAACTTGCTCTGTAGACCAGGCTGCCCTTGAACTCAAGAGATTTGCCTGCCTCTGCCTGCTGAGTGCTGAGATCAAAGGTGTGTACCACCATGTCCAGTGATGTCACTCTTTTGAGAGGCCAGGTATTTTGTAGCACTGAAGACACACGAAAGCATCCGCTAAGGAACTCTTAGTGAAGCATCAGTCAGTGATGGGTCTGCTCATGTCCGATGGGCATGCTTCACAGGAAGGCTGGCCATCTTTGGATCTTTAAAACAGCTGTCTACAGAGTCTAAATCTGAAACACTAGCCAGGAACAGTGGCGCACACCTTTAATCCTAGCACTAGGAAGCAGGTGCAGGCAGATCTCTGTGACTTGGAGCCAACCTGGTCTACAGAGTGAGTTCCAGGCCAGCCAGGGATAAACAAGAGACCTTGTCTCAAAACAAAACAACAAAAACAGTTTAAAATATTAAAAGAATTAAAGAAAGTGGCAAACATGTCCAGTCTCTTGACCCTGTGACATAATGTTGTCATTTACAAAGTTTGCACTAGGGAACTGCACACACACACACACACACACCCCTTAAAACATTAAATAAATTTGCGATTTTGTGCTGGGCTGCACTCATAGCTATCCTAAGGCACAGGCAGCCAGTAGGAGGAGGACCAGACACACCTGCTAAGGGTAAAGGTTAAATGTTTTTACCTGGGTTAATCTCTCGGTAAGTGCCGATCCCATAAGCATCTACTATGTTCTGGAAGCCATGTGTGAACTTGTTGGTTTTGTTATATGTCGGGGGTGTCTGGTTTGTCTGCATCCTGTTCAGAATGGAGGGGACAGTGGACCCACTGTGTTCCTGGGGAACATTAGCAACACGTCAGAATTAGGTTGTCCTCATGGCTACGCAGGTGTGCATACATATTATAATTCACGCTGCACACCTAAAACATATATCTTTTTTATATACATACATTCCAATTAAACTAAGAAAAATTAAGATTGTTTTATGTTTTTCTGGGACTAGATCTAAAATTGGCAACAGAAGATTTCCGTAAGTCTTGGAGCCTGCCATGGAGCCTGCCATGGTGGTACATGCCTATGAGTCCCAGCGCTCCACAAGGCCGAGGTAAGAGGCCTGGGCATCAAGGCCAGCTTGAGCTACAGAGTGAGAAATGGTTTCGACAATTGAAAACAGCAATAAATAAAGTAAACAGAGTGAATAGCTGCAGGCAAATAAATAGATAAAAGTAAAAAGTGAACTTTAATGAATTCTTAGAAAGTATATCATTATGGTGAAAAAAATGTAAGCACACCCAGGAGGCTGAGGGTGAAGGATCCCTTGAATTGCAGAATTCAAGACCAGAGAAAGCAAAACACACGCTCTGCCCCACTCCCCACCCACTTTCCTTCCTGAAGGCCTGTGGTTCAGCTAAGATGCTCACGAGGCGACCGACCACACACCAGCTCTTCCTCTGCCCACTCAGTAACACTGCAGGGCTCTGGGGAACTCCCCTCTCCAGGATCACCCCTGAGGTCCCCGAAGGTGCCTCCACACTTGCTAACGCTCTGATCTCGTTAGTTTAGCCCCATTGTCTGCTTGATATTTTCTCACAGACAGGGCCTCAGTGTGACTGCCGCTCAGCCTGCCATCCTTCTTATTAAGAAGTTCCTCCTGCTGGGCTCCGACTCCCGTGAACTTTAATCGTCTGGGACACAGAGCTTTGGTGCCTAAGGACCATTTTTAATAATTCTTGTTCCTGTACTTTACTAAAAAAAAAAAAAAAAAAAAAAAAAAAAAAGAGGCTATGCACTGTTTTCCCTTGAGAATGTCTCACAGATCCATCAGGTTTTGCCAAGTCCTGCCCAAAGCCCTCCTCAGTGACAGTTCTATGCTCACAGTAGCCTCGTGACTGGCCACCACCCTCAGGATTTCTCCATGTTTCATGGTCTGCTGATCATGCTTTTGAATCTGCTTTGATCACAGCTACATAACCCATGGCCTCTCTAACCTCCCGGAGTAAGTTTTAAATCCTGTAACCTTTGAGAAGTCATAACTGCGTTCAATCTATTGGGTGCATGGTTAGCTGCTGCTCTTCCAACTGAACCACTATAAACCCTGCTCTTGCCTAATGCTGTGCACTACCACACGTACTTCCGGCTGTTATCTGCAGTGATTTTCCTTTTGTTTTAGATTTTGTTTGTTAACACAAGGTCTCATGTAGCCCAGGCCGGTCTCAAACTTATGAGATAGCCAAGGATGACCCTGAACTCCTGATCTCCCTTGCTGTTATTTCCCAAGCACTGGAATTACAAGGATATACCACCATCCATGGCTTATGCAGCACTGGAGATTAAACCAGGGCTTCAGATAGCAAGGGCAGGCAGGGCTCAGGAGGCAGAGGGAGGTGGAGCTCTGAGTTCAAGGCCAGCCTGGTCTACAGAGTGAGTGCCAAGACAGCCAGGGCTACGTAGGGAAACCTACAAACAAAACATACAGACAAAAATACCAGGGCTTTAGACATGCAAGTCAAGCAATCTCCCAGCTCAGCTGCCTCCCCTGCCCTGGCAATATGGTTTCCCACGTGTGTACCCACTGTACCATTCTGCTCCTGATCACACATCGCTCTTTCATTGTTTGCTTTTTTCTTTTCAGCTCTGGGGACCAAGCCCAGGGACTCACACATGCCAAGCCAACGCTCTGCTGTTGAGTGACACCCCTTGTTCCACCAAACTCCACCTTTTCTTGACATTTTTTCCTAGTCACATTTGTTAGAAACAAGTCCACCCTCCCTCTACATCAGGGTTCTCAACCTGTGGGTCAAGACCTCTTTTGGGGTTTGAACCACCCTTTCCCTCTAATGTCAGATAGCCTACATATCAGATATTTACATTACCACTCAGTACAGTTAGGAAGTAGCAATGAAAATCGTTTTATGATTGAGGATCACCACAACATGAGAAACTGTATTAAAGGGCGGCAGCATTAGGAAGGGTGAGAACCACTCCCTACACACATGTATATGTGCATATATACATAGACATGCATGTACACACCCTCCCTGGCTTACTGAGGTCAGTGTCTTAGAAAGCAGGCTGCTGTAACTACCAAGTAGGAGCAGTCAACAGAGAGAGCAAGTCAGGAAGCTAATGCTCCAGCATGCTCTGCCCTGAGGAATCACAGCCATGACCGAATCCCTTCACACTACTGAGCTGCAGTTTCCGCTCTGCAAAATAAGGCCAGTCCTCCAGACGACAGACAGAGCATACTCTCAGGGTAGAAGAACACATTAAAGAACTCTGAAAGCAAAACTGTCGTAAATAGGAAATTGATTAGTAGGAGGCTCGCCTCCTGCCCACCAGGTTCAGTGCTAGCTGGAGACTCACCGTGCCTCTTCGAAGTGCAAACTGGATGGAGTCCAGGTCAGTGACAGGGCACCAGACTTCTGCGATCAGGCACTTCTGGGTCACATCTATATTGCACAGGTTCAGGGTATGGTAGATAGCCTTCATCTTCCGCACCTTGATGAACCAGACCCGGATGTTCTTAGCAGCCGCCTGCAGAACCCTCTGGCGGTGGTCCTCCGTCTGATTCAGAACCTTTTGGGAGAGGAAGGAGTAGGGAGAAGGGATCTTTCCAGCACAAGTTTTCCATCACAGGACAGGATGGCAAATTGGCATTGCTTTCTAAAAAAAAGGGTTGCCAGGAAACAGTCTTATTCTTCCCCTAGCAAGGTGTATTATTTGGGGGTTCTGTGGGTTTAGGGTTGTGGGGGTCAAATTGCAAGAAATGTGAGTTCTTACAGTGCTAGGGATGGAGCTTGGGGCCTTGTACATGTTATAAAAGCATGCTACCGCGTAATTGTGTCTCTAGCTCGCAAAATGTGAGTTCTGGTGGAGAATATAACTCAGTAGTAGAGGGAGCTATCCATCATGGATGAGGCCCTAACACCACCACACCACACACACACATACACACACACACACACACACACACAGAGAGAGAGAGAGAGAGAGAGAGAGAGAGAGAGAGAGAGAGAGAGAGGAAAATGAGTTCTGATTATAACTATCTTCATTAGCTTCAAGCTGATGACAAACAGAAAAATATTTCTTAGGGTTTTTTCTCAATATTCAATCTTACCACTAATCCAAGGCACAACACAGAAAGACCCCTGGCTTTGCTTGCATTGGGTAAGGTCAGTGACTTTCTAGGGGCTGGAGAGATAGCTCACAGTTCAGAGCTGCTCCTCCAGAGGGCCAGAGTTCAGTTCCCAGCACCCATGCCGGAGGCTCCAAACCACCTGTAACTCCAGCCCCGGGGATCCCATGCGATGTCCCTGGTCTCCAAAGGCACATGCACTCACACGCACATTACCACATAAACACACATACACACATATAATTAAAAATAATAAAAATAAATCTTTAAAAAAAAATCAACAGAGGGTGAGCAACAACAGGCCCAGGCGCTTACTATTGAACAGACACAGCGGGTAAAGGAGAAGAACAGCTTGTGCGCTGGACCTTTAAGAACCAGTACAGATGGCCTTAGAGGAAGAGACAGGGACAGTCTATATTCCCGTGTCTCATTATTGTCAGACACGTAAGGTAGCAGTAGTTAGAGGAGACTACAGAGCTGGTGAGATGGACAGCTGGACAGGTGAGCCACTAAGCCTGAGAAGCTGAGTACCATTCCCAAGTGGAAGGAGACAACAGATTTCACAAGCTGTCCTCTGACCGCCACATGTGTGCCATGGTGCACATATGTATACAATAAAATAAAAAGGTAATTAAAAAAAAAAATGAAGCTAAGCCCGCAACTCCCAACTAGAAGGAACTGTGCAACTACCTACCCTCACACTTCTGTGTGAGAATCTCTTAAAGCTTTGAAAAGATTTTTTAACTTCTTTGAAAAGGAAAGAGTTTCATATTTAGCTATATAAAGGAGAAGTTTCCACTCACGGGGCAACAGCTAATCCCTGAAAAACTGTCTTGCACAAAGGAGGTGACTTCTATAGGTTTGAAAAAAAAAAAATGCCACCATGCTTGAGAAACTGTGTCACTTTAGGAGTGTGTTATGCTCATTTCTTTTCTGCTAGCTGTGACTGTTTCAGAATTCTTTCCACCTTCTTCTGGAAAGACAGGGATAGAGTAAGGCTCAGACCCTGAAGCCGCCGGGCGGCGGCGGGACATACCTCGTATCCCAGCACTTGGGAGGCAGAGACAGACAGATCTCAGAGTCCGAGGCCAGCCTGGTCTACAGACGAGCTCCAGGACAGCCAGGGCTACACAGAAAAATTGTCTCAAAAAACAAATAAACAAAACTGAAAAAAAAAAAAAAAAAAACACTAAATTTTCTTTTTTTTTTTTTTTTTGGTTTTTCGAGACAGGGTTTCTCTGTATAGCCCTGGCTGTCCTGGAACTCATTCTGTAGACCAGGCTGTCCTCGAACTCAGAAATCTGCCTGCCTCTGCCTCCCAAGTGCTGGGATTAAAGGCGTGCACCACCACCGCCCGGCCTGAAATTTCTTAATATTCAATGTGAATATTGTCCGACTTTGCAAGCTCTTATGTTTTTTTGCTTTCCTTTTTTTCCTTGGTTTTCCATCGCTTTGAAAGTTTCTTATAGCTGGACTTCTTTTTTTTTTTTTTTTAAGATTTACTATTTATTTTATGTATATGAGTACACTGTAGCTGTCTTCAGACTCACCAGAAGAGAGCATCAGATCCCATTACAGATGGTTGTGAGCCACCATGTGGTTGCTGGGAACTGAACTCAGAACCTATGGAAGAACAGCCAGTGCTCTTAACCACTGAGCCATCTCTCCAGCCCCTGGACACTTTTTTTTAAACTTTTCAAAAACTCGTGTGTGTGTGTGTGTGTGTGTGTGTGTATACAATGCTGTGTCACAGTGTGTGATATAGAGATGCTAAGCTTTGTGTCAAATGCCTTTTTCTCCTAAGTCATTGTGTTGGCCCCTAGCTGGACTTTTAAAAAATCAAATTCTAGTCATTCATAATGGCTCCTACACATGGTCCTTAAACCTACCCAAAGCCTGGAAGAGAATATGGTGGCTTAGATGCCAGGATGTGTTATAAATGGCCTATATCACCCAACAACGGTTCTTTACAAACATCAACCTTCTGTCTTTCCCATGGTTAAATGGGTAAGTGTATCTCAAAGAAGCCAGCAGCAGGTCAAGCTCATGGGTCCTATACAGTGGAGCCATCCCCTATCTGTGACAATATCACTGCTACAAAGAACTGCCTTGGGATGGGGGGGTGTTTGTTAACGTTTTAAAGAAAACAAACAACTACTGCACCCTTTCTTTCCTAAAGTACAAGCCCCTGGTCACCTTTTCCTTCCAAAGAAGCACAAATCATGGCTCTTCCCTTAGAACCCTTTAGCACTATGATGTGCGTGACTTTTGCTTTGTAAACTGATAAAAATCTAACAGTCTCTTATTGGGTTCAAGAGTCAGCTCCAGGCTCTTTGACTGGACCATGTGGTTCAGATCAAAGGTAACCAGAAGACACATCATGCTGTTGTAAGAGGCTGCTAGGAAGACTGTGTGAGGACAGAGTTGACTTTCCATGAACTTCTAGGTTGTTTGATTGCAGCACATTTTAAGAAAAATGTATTATTGTAAAAACCATCTCAGATTCATGAAATGGAGGGGAACAGATGGCTCTTAAGCAGTAAGGATTCCAGAGGCATAGCATATTCCTTTCGTGTTGGAGGCTGACTAATGCTATTTTTAACAGTCCTATCCTGAGACTTTTGCCAGTTCCCAGGGGGACTTCCCACCCACACACATTTCTTTTTTTGGTATCCAACTGTTGCAGGTGTCTTAACAAACTGCCAAGGGTTTAAGGAAGGAGACTGGCTCACTACTGTAGTAGTTCACAAAGTCCAATTCCCGTGGTCCCCCTGTACCATTTGGAGATCGTCGATCCTGGTATTGACTCCGGAAGCCATTTCTTTCCTCTCCTGTGGAGTCTCAGGACAAGGATAGAGGGAGGCTCGGAACCTGGAGGGTACAGGAAGAGCTTTAGCACACTGAACTTTCTTAGTTCCTTCAATGTAAATCCCCTTGGGGAATAATCCTAGCTTACTATAGAACAGTCACAACTAGACTGGCCTGTTGAGGTCATCAACATTAACCAGTCATGTGAAGTGGCTGCAGACAGCAACAATGCAGAACAGTCTCGACAGCCTCTATAGCCATGAAATAATTCTGAGATTAAAAAAATAAGGCGCTGGAAAGATTGTTCGGCAGTTATGGGCACTTGTTTCTCTTCCAGAGGACCCAGGTTCAGTTCCCAACACCAGTGTGGTGGGTCACACCTGCCGGTACTTCCAGTTCTAGGGGATCTGATACTCTTCTTCTGGTCTACAAAGGCACCAGGAATGCATGTGGTGCACATAACACATTCAGGCAAAACACTCATAAACACAAAACAAATAAATCTTTGCAAAAGAATGTTGAAAAATAACTTAAAAAACAATTTTTATTATAAGTTACTAGAGAAAAATGGCATGGTAAAATTTCTGCCCATAACCAGAATACCAGAATGTTTATATAATGCCTACGGCACTATGCTGGCATGTAAACCCACTGTCCCTGAATAAAGGAATTATGACTCTGCTGAATCTTTTGGGTGGGGACATGTGTATGTATGTGTAGTGTGCATGTGTGTATATATGTATGTGTGTGGTCAGGAACATGTATGTGCATGTGTGTGTGCATGCCTCGGGAACTAAAGGTTGACACCAGGAGTTGTTTAGGTGGGGTCTCAATTGACCCCAGAGTTCTCCCATGCAGAGAACCTAATTAGCCAGCGTGCTCCTGAGATCCCGTCTTCAGCTTCCCAAATGCTGGGATTATAGCTGCCATGTGCACCTGGCACTTATGTGGGTTTTAGGGATCCAGACTCCAGGGCTTACATGTATGCAGTAAGCACCTTATCCACGGAGCCATCTCCACAGCGTGGGCCGCGCTTCCGATACTTGAAAAGTACATAAAGTAAAACCTGAGCTACTTTTGACGGTTTCAAATATTCCTAACATCATTCACAGTGTAAAACAGAACGAACGGATCTATGCTTCACTTTTCTGAGCCTTTAGCAGACAGCATAGCTGTGGCTCTTGTTTGCAGGCGACATCTCTTACCCTTCACAGATTTTCTTGACTCTGTTTTTCAGCTGATCACCTTGGAAAAAAATGATGAACACGGACTTGTGCACGTAGTCGCCCTGGGCCCCAGAAGGAAAACCAAGAGTTCAGAATTCTCAATATGGGTGAAAACTTTTGATACAGTTTACACTGCAGCTCAGGGGGCCTGACTTCACTGGGTAGCTTAGACTGGCCTTGAACTCACAGCAGTCCTAGCCCCAGGCTCCTGAGTGCTGGGCTCATAGGCCTAGCTTTAAAGTTCTAGAACAATTAAGCCTGAGTGGCATTAGAACCAATCCTTTACGGACATGGTCTTCTGTGCTTTACCCTTACTCCAGTACCTAAGCTTCGTGTGGAGACTGTCTGCCCTACAGCCCCAGACTCACAAACCCCTTCCTGTTTTCAGATACAGCCAGAAGGCTGAGGGAAAGCAGAGGGCATGCTCGGCACAGAGGAGCCTGTTTCTCTAGTTCTACATGAACTCTTGTGCTTCAGGATGACAAAGGCACATGGGAAGCAGAAGGAAACCTGTCTGTTCCTGCGCTTAGAAAGACCCAGATAAAAAGAGCTGACTGAATGCAAGGCACTAAGTCACTGGCAGAAACAGCAGTGTTGAATCTCAAGAACTGTACTAACTTAAACTTTGCGGAACAAGAAGGCAGACAACCCTGAACACCAAGCTCACACCTCGAGTACAAGGGCAGCCAGGAAAAAAATCGGCGTGTGAGCTGTTTCCCAAGGCCCCATTCATCGGGTTGTCTGTAACAGCTTGCATACAAAGTGTGTACTGCTTTTATAAAAGAAAACAGCTTCAGTGAGCTGCCTCAGAATAAAGAGGGAGGAGAGTTAGATTCCAGACAATCAATCCCCAACACTCCTCGCTGAACTGGGGCCCACTCTCGGCAGGGCCGCTCAGCTTGAGATGTCATGCCCTGCTTTCCTGGCTTTGTGATAATCTTTCTGCTGTGGAGAGGAAACCTGACTGAACACCCCTGAGAGGGGCTCCATATTGGACATAGCTACAGATTACAATTCTTCCACAACCCAAGGTGTCTGAAAAAGTGTACCCCAAGACTGAAGCATTTACACTGTCAACATGCTCCTACTCAACGAGGGGGCCTGGGGCAAAAGCCACAGAGTGTCACCCACCAAAGCTCACAAATTTCCAAGTTAAATTTCTCTTAGAACAAAAAAAACTTAAGATGTTCGTAAGGTAAGCTAGCTATAGGCTTCTAACTAATACTCCGGCAAGAACGGCATGCAGTCCGTGGGGTGCACCTGAACCCACGCCATGTAGATGTTGCTATGCACTGTCCTGCCTGTGTCCAATGCCAAGACATTATACAATTCTTACTTTCCAAAGAGCTGGGTAGACAAGGTCATTCTCATCATGCATGTATCTATGCTTAAATTAAGTTTCTGATTCTCCCGAGAAACAAGCAGATAAATCTTCAGAATAAAGTTTCCACCAGCTTGTAAAGATGAAAGTCTAGGAAATCTATCTTTTTATACGCAATATCACTAAATTTGGAACGTGGTATCTTGATTTCATGTTAATTTTCATAAAAGGCCATTTTTCTTTCAGCTCAGATTAATAACAAGAATTATATAAAAGCTAAGGTTTAGCATAATTGAGGGAAACATGCAAAAAATACCCTTACATGGGTAAAGTTTGAAAATAGAGAGAAGAGAGTGAGCCTTCAAGTATTGGTCAAGCGAGGGCTCCTTTAATGAATGGCAGATCTAGGGAACACCATGCTGTGCTACTGCTCTGGGCTAGACCTACTCCACAAGACATAATTTCCTTGTCTTACAGTCACAGGATCCTCCAGCGGGTTTTCGATTTCAGCCTGTCTCAGGAACACATTCCCTCGGCACACTCGCCAAAGCATGCGCTCAAAGGTGGGGATCCGCTCCCGGTTAATCACACCAGCCACGAAGCTGTGGGGAGAAGAGTCAGGTTGGGGACTCCAGGCTGGGAGACTTAAGACAAAGCAGGAGAGTGAGGAGAAAGTGGAAAGATTATACACTGCACGGGAGATGGTGAACTATGGTGTCAAGAGGGCTGTCTGCTACTCCTTTTTTTCCTGACATCTCTGGACACATCAGTGGGTTGCCACAAAATCCAGACACACACACTGCCTCAGATTAAACTCAGGCCAGGTCTACCACTGATCTTCTCTCCAGGTCATGCTTTAAATAGGACCTCACTGTAGCCCAGGCTGGCCTCAAATGTACGCTCTTCCTTCGTCTTCCTGCTGAGGGATGGGATTACATGCATGTAGCACCCACTGCTCTTTTGAACAGCAGAGAAGAACACAAACCCATGGAGGCTGAAGTGGTGCTTACCCAAGTCGTAAAGGCGCGCCTCTTCCCATCTCGTTTGGCTCCAAGAGTGATGAGGACTCTTCCAACAGGTCTGGATCCGCCATCTGCTGATGATGCAATTCAGCCTGAATTCACAAATCAATTAATATCTAATGAAAATAGTTAGTGGCATGCAGGGAACGAGGAACCAGGAGATGGGTTCAGAAAATAAAAATGAAAAAAGAAAGAAGAAGAAAACAAGACAGAAGAAAACAAAAACCCAAAACACCAAAAGATAGAGCTAACCCACAAAAAGAAGAGAAGAGTAATAAGAAAGGACAAAGGTTACACACAAGCTAAAGAAAGCAAAACTTCCCCAGAAAAGCATCTGGGGAAACAAAACAGAAGAAAAATGTGAAGTGATGGTGACATGTATAAATCTGTTACTAGGTGGAAGTCATTTGTTCTAATGCTTTCCTGAACAAACCTGGGACGTAAGCCACAAAGTTCTTCTTTTTGAGAGAAAAACAGACAAACAAACAAACTCCCAAACAGCTCTGGAGATAGTGAGAATACTTCATTTCTAGGCAGCTACCAAGTAGAAAGTGTTTGTGCAAGCATGCAGGAGGTGGGACACTCTTTCAAGTAAGCAATGACCTGGAGCTAGAAAGGGCATGGCTAGCCTTTGGTAAATGCAGAGCATGAGGACTGTCAGCATGGCCACACACAAATGACCCAAAGCACAGAATTTAAAGAGAGCTTCTTCATGAGGATAAGAAGTGCAGCAGCTGGACAGGGCTGGGGCTCTATTGCACTCATAAAGGCAAGAAAAAGGTAAAACATCCAATGGTTATATTTTCTGAATACAAATCTAGGGATACTGAAAAATCTGTACAGATTTTACAGCAAAGAACAACAACCAAGTAGTGTAAATAAAGGGTCACAGATAAACAGTCTAGAGTTATTAGCCTTGCTTAATTGGTGAGACTTAAAATGACTTCCACTAGGACAGTTTATACAATGAAATGAAGGCAAAGGATTTCCCACAGTGGTCTGTTGTTTCTCACCTTTCTCCCTTAAACATCTCTAGTCTCATCAGGATGAAGAAGCTGCCCTAGAACATGAACTCCAATCAACTTCTCCACTGCCTAATCTATCCAGCTGTAATATCCACCTTCACTGCCTAATCTACCCAGCTGTAATATCCACCTTCACTGCCTAATCTACCCAGCTGTAATATCCACCTTCACTGTCTAATCTACCCAGCTGTTCAAAAGCAAACAAAACACCAGAAGTTCCCTTTAATTTTCATTCCAAATTTCAATTTCACCTTAATCCTGTCAATTAAACTATGAGAGGGAACAAAGGCACATGCTTGCCTTATATGGCAAAGTCATGGACCATACACATAACAAACAACAGTGTAAACCAGATAATTCTGAAGGGCAAAAAAGTAATTGTTTTGTGATATTAGGATCAGGGCTGTTTTTTTTTTTTTTTTTAATAGCACACGGAGCAGAGGAATATTGCCATGTGATTAGAATTTAAGGTGAGATAATGGGACCACTGGCTACTACTTTCTGTCACATGGGTAGATAAGGATTTCTTTTTTTCAACCAGGAAACAAATCAGCCAACTGAAAACAATCTGAATAGTCAAATTACTATATTACCATGGTTCTTGGGGTGTGCATTGGCAAAGTGAATAGGACTAATTGTTCCCCACAAGACTCTCCTACTGGTTTATGTGGTTCTCAGAACCTGGCTCTTACTAGAGTCTGTGTGGCATGTGTGCTCTTACAGGGGACAGCAGACAAGAACAGACTGTACTTAGACTCAACTGCTCCAAAGATGGTATCTGGGGCTGAGACTTAAAAAAACAACAGAATTAAAATTAAACAGAAAGATCAAATTCTAAATACTAACTTCACCACTTCATATTTAAGAACACCAAGTCTTAGATAGGAAGGTCAAAAAATTATAAATAAAATTGTGCTTGTTGGGAGACTACAGTGACCAGAACTAAGAGCCTGTATAAAAAAAGATCTAAAAGCAAAACATGATCACAGAGACCAGAGAGTGTTTTCTCTCTCTCTCTCTCTCTCTCTCTCTCTCTCTCTCTCTCTCTCTTTCTGTCTGTTTCTCTCTCTGTTTATTTATTTTATGTGCATTGGTATTTCGTCTGCATGGATATCTATATGTGTGAAGGTGCTAGATCCCCTGGACCTGGACAGACAGTTGAGAACTTCCTGTGTGGGTGCTGGGAATTGAACCCATGTCCTCTAGAAGAGCAACAGTGCTAGTGCTCTTAACCACTGAGCCATCTCTCCAACCTAAGACAATGGTTCTCTAGTCAGGATAATACTGCCAAGTTCTCTAAATCACCTGTTATTTCCTCAGTGTTTCCCCTTCTCCATTGAGAACACTGAAAACCACACCTTACAGAAAGCAAGTTGCTGGATGGAACTTCAGCTCTGTCTGTAGCACTTCAATATATAAACAGCACATCCAGTCAAGCTACACCAGCTACTACCAACACTTTAGCTGTCTAGCTACAGTGAGAAAGAAATGAAATGTTGCTACTTCACCCAGAGGAGATGGCAGATGGAAAAGAAAAATAAAGAGAGCAGATGAGTGAAGAACAGAGAAGGAAAGGGAGGCAGGGATCTGCATGCCATTAACCATTACTTTCCCAGTCTTCTTTACGTTCGCATATGTTATGGTGCTTATGGTAAAAGATGTAGAGAAACCTCTCCAGCTCTTACAGTTCTTCATAAGCAAGAAGACTAGAAAAGGATAATCATTAATAAATCATCTTAAATGCTCTGGGTAAGAAATGGCTACGTTGAATTAACAATCATCCTAAATCATAAGAATATTCAATATGTTTACTTTTCCCTTTCTACACACCCTGCCAATTATTATCACCAATAGGAAAGCATCATTTTCTGATTTAGCCACTTCTGACTGATTACTCTGAATTATTGATTGAGTTCACCCAATTATAAGAAAAGAGGAGAGGTTTGTGGTTGGCAGTGTTTGGTGCCGTTTGCAACCATGAAGCAAAATCTTATTACAAACTGAACTTCCAGCATCTGCGGTGCCAGGACTGCTGACCTTTCTGTGTTGCTGAACTGCACACACAATGTGGTCACCCAGTGAGACTTTGCCTCTGGTAAGGGCAGCGGCATCTGCAATTGCTATTTGACAGCAGGGCAAGGTCTATGGAAAGGGACCTGGCTGAGACTGTGGGGATGGCAAAAATGGGCCAGGTGCCAGCTGCGAGCGGCGAGAGGAAGCACAGTGATTGTGGCCGGAAGACTGTGCGCTGCTGTGTCAGGCTTGAGATGGAGGTTGATGAAAAAAGCGGTGGAGAAGCTCTCAGAGCCGAGGCCTTATGCTCAAAGTGCCTGGGAGATCGGGGCTAAGGGCTTAGCATGAGAAAGAGAGAACAATCCACCATGGATAGAGCGTGGAGGCCGTAAAGACTTGGAGTCACTTTTTAAGACTGGAACTTAATATCTAGACTTAATAATCATTTAACAATCCCATTTATGTTATTTTCTCTGGAACTGTCTTTCCTGGTGTTTGTTTGTTTGTTTGTTTGTCTGGAGAGAGAGTCTTATGCATTGCAGTCTGGACTCAAAACCACCATGCCTCTGAGGCTTGTTGTGAATTCCTGGTGCTCCTGTCTCTACCTCTCAAATGCTGGGATTCCAGGTATGCACCACCACACCCGGGGCCTAACTATGCTTCTGAAGTAGCAACTCGTTTTTCTAAATGGTTCATCTTATTTTTTAGTGATTTCTTTTGGGGGAGCTGGGGGTGGGAAAAAGTTTCACTGTACAGCTTAGGCTGGTCTTGAGTTGGCAACCAGAGAGATCTGAAATTCAAGGCCTGGCTGAGTGATAAAATGAGATCCTTTCCCTCGTGGCTGCACAACTAGTAAAAGAAGTTTCAAATGAACGTACAAGCTTTGACTATGAGGCCAGGTAGGATATACTAAGGCACCCTGGGCACATTCAGAGAAGTATGACTCTGTGAGCATATGCAGCGCCATGCTCAGGGGTCTCCTGATATAACCGAATGATATGTCCTTTGACTGAAGGGATTGGGTCTTTCTCAACCTGGACTTCATAAAGAGTAAGTGCTTATTATACACCTGCGGAGTTAACATGGAAGAATACATAGCTATGTGGCAGCGAGCATCCAGGAGTTCACATTCAGTGGGATCGAATGGCAGAAGTGGCTTTGCCTCTGGCAAAGATGTAAGCACTTGCAGAGAGTTGATCTCTTTGCCTCGCACCTCCTCAGCTTAGGTGGCAAGCAAATACTCATAGGAAATGTCTATTAGTTTATAAGCAGATTCCTGCTCCTGGGAAGACTAGGCAGTTACATTCATAGGAACTTTCCTCATCTCCCTGTCTCCCTCCGTAGATTCCTTGTATTCGCGTGACTTGTCTGAATCAAAATCCGTGGTTACTAAAGAATGTATCACATCCTCGGCAGACTTTTCTCCACATAGTGGTTTTCAAAGTACCATCCCTGAGTTAAAACATGTTAAAACAGCTAGCTGGGCCCTGTCCTGGCCCTCACCCCAGTGTCTGACTCAGCAGGTCTGTGGGGGGGGCACTGATCATTTACACTCCTCCCACGGTTCCAGGTGAGGCTGTTGTTGCTGGCTGGAAACCTTAACAACTATGGAGGACTGGTCTCTTCTCAAACGAGGCAGATTGAAAGTGAACTGAGAACCTATCAGGTACTAATTGAAATGGATCCTTCATATCTAAAAATCGTTGTCAAGACTTTTTGTCAAGTAAAGGAAATAAACTTTCTGGGTGGAACACAATAATAGTAACTAGGGTGATATCTACAGTGTCTATAGTTTGGCAAAGATGCCTGTTAGACCATCAGAAAAACCACATCCGGATTGGAAGGGAATGTTCCTTCCCAAGATTAATTAGAAGGAAGCCATCTACAAATGTGAGCTAACTCCTTTCTGGGGTCTCTTTAGCAAGCTGTCATTTGGCATCTCAGTACCTTTATATTAACCCGGGAACTTAGTAACATTTTCCTTATAAACAATAAACTGTGTCTATGGGAAAATTCAAACTAGCATCATATTGCTATTTCCATAGGACACAATGAAAACTCAGAAAAAACAGTGACATGAGACCTGAAGTACGGAACAACTCCCAAATGCGGTGAACAAAATCATCTCATGACTAAAGGTCTGGAGATGGAGACTTCACTGTAACTTTGTGCGTAACCAGACTTGTTTCTCCAGCTTCATATAAATTATACTTACCTCGTTACACACAGCTAGAGGTGCCACACAGACATTTCAACTATACTTGCACATCAACTTGAGGGTTCCTTCCCCCTCACCCCCCCACCCCTCCCCCATCTTGAGAGGAAAGCTTGCGGAAAATGTAAAAAACATATGAAGCCGTGGCTGGCCGTGTACTACATGGAGAATGGAACGCGTTCTTTAACTAAAACGAGGTGCAAAGCGGAATTGCTTCCAAACTAACAAGTTAAAAGAATCATTGGAATAAAGACATGGCCCCCTTCCGCAGGTATACCAGCTGCTCTAGTACTAGAAGAAGCAATAGTCTGACCTCATCGAAAAACTGCTGAGTTTTGCGCAGTATAAACTTTAATTCAGTCAGTTCCAGGAAGTTTCTCTTCAGAGCTTCCTGGTTAGTGTTGATTTCTTTCAGTTCATTTTCAATCTTCTCGAAATTGGCCTAGGGTTAAAAAGAAAGGAAAGAAAGAGAGAAAGAAAAAAAGAAAGAATGAATGAATTAAGAAGTTAACTCAAATTCAGCTTGCTGTGCTCACTCTAAAAGACATTTACTGAATTTGCACCCCCAACTGTTGCCATGGTAACGAATTATCTACAGCTCCAACAAATACTGTGATTCCCCATCCCCCAACAACTTTAAGCAAAAACATTTCACTTAAATGAGCCTTTGTCTACAGATTCCACTATACGCTCAGTGATAACTGAGACACTCAAAAATATCAAAAACTCATTAGAGTGTGCGGGTCACACTCCCACAAGGGCTCAGGAAAGCAATAAGCATGAAGTTGACAGTGTACTATGTCATCTCTGTGGGAGACGCTGTTTGACATTATAAAAGAGGGATTCAGTCCCACCTAGTAAAAACTTACAATAAAAAACAACGCTCACAAGCTTGGCAAGACCGCCTCTCTGTGCCAGCCAGTCAGGAAGGCGACTCCTGCATTTACGTAGAAAGTTATCTGAGAATTGTTTACCTCTAAGTCGATCATGTCCCGGGGGAAGGGCACCTCTGGGTTTTCACCAGTGTCCATAATTGGGATGTTAGCTTTCCTTATCTCTTTCTCAACAAATCCTAAAAAAGATAGAGGCAGAGCATTCACATGCCTGGAATTCTCACTGAGAAAACATGCCTACAAAGATCCAATGCCTGGCTAGAAAGGGCTTCGTTCTAACAACTGGCAAACAAAAGAAGCAGCTTTCCCTGATGCACAGCCAGGGCTGACTTGATGTTAGTTTAACACTGGCCTGCAGTCCCTTCGCCTCTCCGCCCTATGTGTCATACTTCCTTCAGGTAAGATAGCGCTCTTTGCACGTATCACTGGCCAATCAATGTGCAAGAAGAATACAGTGTTAACAGAGCATTTGACAATTCTAGGTCAAAAGGATTCATTAAATTTAGAAACAATTGGGTCATTTTTTTAAACATCAAAAGTCAAAAGTTAAGCATAAAAGTACCCAAAACATTGAAAGAGAAAAGCGTTTCCATGACAACGACTGACTTCTTCTTCTTTTTTTTTTTTTTTAAATAGGGATCAATTTACCTATCAACTTGGCAGAGTGGCAAGATCATGGGTTTGGAGCCAGACAGAATAACCTAGTTTCAAATGCTGACTCCATTATGACTGCTTATGCCCTTATGTGAGTTAAGGAAATTACAGGCTCCTTAGTATTCCATGAGGGTAACACCTATATTTTTTTTTTTTTGAGACAGTGTCTATGTGGACCAAACTGGTGTGGAAGTAAGAGAGATCGTAGGTCTCTGCATATTGGGATTAAAGGTGTATGCCACCACATCTTAAAGGCATGTTGTGGGGAATGAATCAAATTTTCAATCACTCATCAGTACCCTAAGCCTTAGAAAATGTTACACTTCTCATAAACTGCTCCAGTGACATCTAAATTTGATAGTATTCTGAGTCCTACTTTTTAGAATTGTGAGACATAGTTCTGCTTTTAAAATCCCATAAGAATCTAGCTAGGCTGAGGTGGTACATGCCTCTCTCAAATCCCAATGCTTGGGAGGCAGAGGCAAGTGACTCTCTAAACTCAGGCTAACCTGGTCTACACAGTGAGTTCCAGGATGGCAAGGACTACACAGAGAAAACCTTGTCTTTAAAAGCAAACAAACAAACAAACAAACAAATAAAATAAAACAAAATCCCCCGAGAAGCTAAGATAGTGGCATATACAGGCAACCAAATTACTCCAGAGAAGCAGAGGCAGGAGGATCATTGCCTGAGCTAGCTAGCTACACAGAGTTCTAGTACAGCCTGAGCTACATGGTGTCAAAGAATAAAAGAAAAAAAGAAGAAGAAAACAAAAACAATTCAACAACAACAAAAATCGATCACAATGGTTTCTTTCAGCTTGTTGTTTGAACACGATTTCCCCTGAGCACCGCCTAGCTCAAAGTGATAAGCCACATCTGGCTTTCACTTGTGTATGTGTGCATGGACATGGACATGTATGTGTGAGTGTGGGCACTCATGTGGCGGTCAGAGGCCAACTTTGGGGAATTGGTTCCTGACTTCCACCCTGCTTCTTGTCTCTGCCGCACAGTGTACTCCAGGCTAGCTGGCCCGCAGGTCTCCCCCTGCCACCACACTGGAGAAATCTGAGGTTGCTGATGTGTACCTGCACATCCGGGTCTTAGTTATTTGTTGTTGCTTACTGAATACACTGCAAAGGGCCAGCAGGCTGGATGGTAACTAGGACCCTGCTGGCAGCCACCTCTGGCTTTCTTTCACTCGGGCTTGGGGCCTGTGAACTCCTTTTTCTACTGTAGAGTTTTTATTCCTTTACTGAGAGGACTAATGACTCTAACATGAGACAAATGACTCAGCACAGGAATGTCATACAAGACCAAATTGCACATACGGAGTTTTCGATCCATTTCTTCACATCTTCTAACTTCATTCACAAATTTCCTCTGGAAAACATTCACATCTGGATTTAACTGAAAGAACAAGAACATAACAGCAAGACTTCAAACACCAAGTTTACAATCTGTATTATAAGCAACACACGCCATAAATGGAAACGTAATCTTGAACCAGTCTACAGTGCAACTCTAATCAAGATTGTCTACTGAGGCCAGGCAGTGGTGGCGCACGCCTTTAATCCCAGCACTTGGGAGGCAGAAACAGGCAGATTTCTGAGTTCGAGGCCAGCCTGGTCTACAGAGTGAGTTCCAGGACAGCCAGGGCTACACAGAGAAACCCTGTCTCAAAAACTCAAAAAAAAAAAAAAAAAAAGATTGTCTACTGATCAATGCAAAAGGCGTTGTGCTAGGCATATGAGAAAAGCTAAAAGCCTCCGGTGCTACTACAGACCAAGACAAATAAGCCAAAGCAGTGAGCTCCCTTCTTTCTCTCTGCCTGGAATTTGGGCAGCCATGTTACAGGCTCTCTGTCTGGCTTTCCTCTCTCTTTCTTCCCAAGCAAAGAAGATAGAAGGCAAATATCTGTTCTTCTGCCCCAGGCCGTCACCTTCTGGTGACAGTCTGATTTTATTAATGCACTAAAGCCGTAAAGAGTGTCACCTCACACTTGTTAGAATGACTCATAAAAAAGATGGGAGCCAGGCTTGGGGGTATACACTGTAATCCCAACTCTGTAGAAGCAGGGTGATTGGGAGTTCAAAGCCAGCCTGTAGAGCAAAGCAAGTTCTAGGCCAGCCTGGGCTACATAATAAGACCTGTCTAAAAAGATAAGTGCTATGAACTGATGAGAATGCCGACGAAAGAGAACTCTGGTGTACTGCTGATAGGAGTGTAAATTACAACGGGCAGAACTACCATACAATTCAGCAGCCCCACTTCTGGGTACACACAGAAGAACTGAAATCAATATGCAAAGCTATTCCCAGTAACTAATATACAGAATCAATCTACCAAGAGATGTACGGACAAAGAAAACATGGGGCATTATACTGAATGAAGCCCACCAGGCACACTGCATTTTACCTACACATACAATTTTATGTTATTATTTAGGTTGTTTTTTAAGATTTTTATGCGTATAGGTAGGTGGTATGTCTACATGAATGTTTGTGTACCGTGTGCATACAAGGTCCCCTCAGAGGCCAGAAGAGGGTTATCAGATCCTCTGGGACTGGAATGAGAGATGGTTGTGAGCTGCTGTGTGGGTGCTGAAAGCCAAACCTGACCTCTGGAAGAGCTGTCACTGCTCTTAACCTCGGAGCCGTCTCTTCAGCCCCTACATGTACATTTTAGCCACTGGAATCCACAGAAGTATTGAGAGGAAGGTGGCTAAGAAGTGGCTACCAGAGAGGGAGACAGAGAGGAGGTGTGGCCAGCAGGGGAAGGTGTAGGTCAGAGTTCACGAATTTTCAGATAGAAGAGGAAATGTCAAGTAGTGATCAAAGGGTAAAAAGTTTGAGCTATTAGGGATACTTTTTTTTTAAAAAACATTTACTTATGTACTTCGTGTTTGTGTGTGTGTGTGTGTGTGTATGCATATGCATGCGTGTGGGTGCATGCTTGCCATAGTGCACATGTAGAGGTGACATGGTGGCAGGAGTTGCTTTGCTCCTTCTACCATGTGGGTTCCAGGGATGGAACTCAAGTTGTCAGACTTGACAAGAAATGCTATTACATTACCTGCTGAGCCTTCTTTATGACTCCAGTAATACATTTGTGTGTGTGTGTGTGTGTAGTGTAGGTACCCATGGAGAAGAGAGCGTCTGATTCCACATAACTGGAGAGATGTGAAACTGGGAACTAAACTTGGCTTCTCTGTAAGAGCAGCTAATGCTTTAACCACTGAGCCCAGGAATAAAATGTTCAACCACTGCAGGGTGGACAAGACAGCTCAGTGTATAAAGGAGTGTGCCTGGAGATACGGCAAGCTTGGTGATCTTGGAGCCTCCATAAACTAGAGGAACAGCATCAATTCCCAAAAGCTGTCCTCTGACCTCGACATGTGTGATACACACACACACACCACCACCACCATCACAACCAGCAATAGTAAATAAAACTTAAAACAAGCTGGGTAGTGGTGGCACACACCTTTAATCCCAGCACTTGGGAGGCAGAGGCAGGCAGATTTCGGAGGCCAGCCTGGTCTACAGAGTGAGTTCCAGGACAGCCAGGGCCATACAGAGAAACCCTGTCTCGAAAAACAAACAAAACAAAACAAAACAAAACAAAACCAAAAACAAAACCTTAAAACAAAATCTAAGGTAAACTCAGGTACATGGCTGTAGTCCTAGCATTTGGGTGGAATAGGAGTTTAACATACCCTCAGCCCCATCAGAAGTTAGAGGTCAAGCCCAGAGACTGTCTGAACAATTAACTAACAGAGCTGGATGTGGTACAGGCCTTATGATCCCAGCTCTTCAGGTGATTAAAACAGAACTCTAAGTTCAAAGCCAGCCAGGGATGCAGAACAAATTTAGGGCTAGCCTGGACAATTTAGTAAGATTTTATCTTAAAAGAGCTGGAACTAGCTCATTAGGCAGAACACTTACCTAACACACATGAAGACCTGGGTTCAATTCCCAGCACCAAAAATAAATACATAATCGAATACAAACAAGAGTAAATAAATAAATGGTATAGTAGTGCCTCTCTCCAAAGTAATAAGAGTAGGACTGCAGAGCCCGACGTGGGTGCTGGGAATTGAACTCAGGTCTCCTGAAAGAGCAGCTAGTACTCTTAACCCCTCTCCAGGCCCTCCACTCGACTTTTTAAGATCAGGTCTAATATACAGCCAAGATAGCCTTGAACTTAATATGGAGCTGAGGAGGGTGACACAGCTCCTCAGCCTCCTGTCTTCACTGCCCCAGCGCTAGGATTATAGCAGTGTACCTCAATGGCCTACTCAGTCACAGCAGAAAAAAGTAGCAAAAACATAACTTGCTATAGCCCAGGATAGTTCTGAGCTGGCTAGACTTCTGCTTTTGCCTCTCAAGTATTGAAAAGTTAAGATGTATAAAAACAAAAACAAAACCCCACAAGCTATAAATGAAAAAAAATATGTTTGCCACATTGAAAGTTAAGGCAGCTAAGAACACTTGTTGCTCTTCCGGAGGGCCAGGTTCAATTCCCAGCACCCACATACATGGTAGCTCAAACTGTCTGCAACTCCAGCTCCACAGAGAATCTGGCCTCCTCAGGCACCTGCACTCACACGTGCATATCCACATACAAACACATACAATACACACAATACACATAATTAAAAATAATTTATAAAGCCAGTCATAATGGCGCATGCCTTTAATCCTAACACTCTGAATGCAGAAGCTGGTGGATCTTTGTGAGTCCAAGGCCAGCCTGAGCTACAAAGTGGGTTTCAGGACAGCCAGGGCTGTTACACAGAGAAACCCTGTCTTGAAAAAGCAAAATAAATTACAATAATAATAATTTTAAAAATAAATAAGTAGGCTGGGTATAGTGCTGCACATCTACCACCACTCAGAAGGTAGAGGCAGAAGGATCTCTGTGAGTTTGAGGCCAGCCTGGTCTACATACCGAGTTCCAGGATAGCCAAAGGTACATAGTGAGACCCTGTCTCAAAAAACAAACAAACAAACAAAAACAAAACCTCCCAAACCAAAATAACAATACTAATAATAAATATTTTTAAAATCTTTTGGGTAAAAAAAAATTCTGGTAAGCTAGATAGTCACACAGCTTTCAGAAGTATGACCATAGATTACTTATTAATTATGCAAGGGATAAGATACTTTTACATTGGAGAAATCTAAGAACTAATACATTAACTGAGTGATCAAATTTATCTTTAATAATAGAAGATGGCTGGACTCAGCTCAGTCAGTAACAGCCTGCCATGGAAACCTGAGAGCCTGAGTTCACTATCAAACCCAGGAAAGAAAGCTGGACAGGCTCCAGGTTCAGTGAGGAAACCATGTCTCAAAAACTAGGGTGGAAGTAGGGTGGGGGTGAGCATGCCTTTAATCCTAGCACTCAGGAGGCAGAGGCAGGCAGATCTCTGTGAATTTGAGGCTAGCCTGGTCTACAGAGTTCCAGGACATCCAGGGGTACACAGAAAAGTCTTGTGTCAAAAAACCAAATAAAATAAAATACTAAGTAACTGTGGAATATACCTGATATTGACCTCTGGCTTCTACTCACATGTGTACACATGTTCACATGCAAGTGTATGCAAACAAGCACACACACAAATACACACATACACACACACAAATAATAGAACAAGACCAGCATAGCAGGCACACGTAAGTATGGAGGAGGCTGAGGCAGAAGGGACTGTTGTGAATTCAAGGTCAGTCTGACTACCTAGTGAGTTCCTAGTCTATCTATGCTAAAAGCAAGGCCTTATCACAAAAAGAAGCAGGGCAGGCAAGAGGAAGAAGGGAGGAAGGAAGGGAGGGAGGGAGGAAAGGAAGGAGGGAGAGAGAGAGAGAGAGACAGAGAGAGAGAGAGAGAGAGAGAGCGCACACCTAGGACACATGGGGAAATTTTACAAACCTCCCAAGTCAATAAGCAAAAGGGAACCCCACAGACAGCTATAGGCAAAGGAAAGGGACACACAGTTTGCAGAAGAGGAAAGTCCCTGTCCACAAGCAGACAAATGCCAACTATACATACAGAAAGTGCAGATTAAAACAAAAGCCTATCGCACACCCGTAAAATTATTGTATTTACAGACCTATTGACACACTTGAACATGACAGCCAACGGGAACACAACACGTGAGTGCTTCCATTGTGATGTACACTATGACAACATAAACAGTGTTAAAGATGCACACGATACGTGATGGTGCTTCTGTGGTGTGTGTGTGTGTGAGCACACTCTCACACATGGATGCCAGAAGTCAACCTTCATGTTGTTCCTGCAGAGCCATCTACCATGGTTTGTTTTGGTTTTGCTTTCTGAGATAGGCTCTCTCAGTAGGACGTGAGGCTTACTGATGAGGCTGGGCCCTCTGGCTTACTGATGAGGCTGGGCCCTCTGGCTTACTGATGAGGCTGGGCCCTCTGGCTAACTGATGAGGCTGGGCCCTCTGGCTAACTGATGAGGCTGGGCCCTCTGGCTAACAAGCTCCAGGGATCCACAAGTGTCAGCCTCCCTTGGACTGGAATCACAGACACGTGCTACCTACCACAGCTACGTTTTTAGAGCTAGGGATTCCATGAAGGTTGCCATGTGGCAAGTATTTTACCAGCTAAGCTGCCTCCCCAACCCCACAATAACCTTTTAGTTACAAAAACTATCTAGCAGTGGCTGGCCTAGAACTTACTATATAGACCATGTTGGCCTCCCAAGGACTATGAGGGGACTGGAGATTCGAGTTATCATGTTTAGCTTTGGTTTTTATGTTTTTGTTTTTTAAAGAAAAAGACAAGTGTATTGAAGACAGGGAGAGCAGCACAGCGTTACTCGGTAGTACCAGAAGAACCACCTGCTGGCTAACCTAACGTCTTAAGAGCTTGTCAGCTCCAGGACCTTTATTAGCTAACCCTGCCTGTTTCTGATCACTCTTGTTTAATTCACAAATTCATTCCAACCAAGCAATGTGGATACCTTGTATAGGCACTAAAGACACAAAAATGTATACAGAGAATGAGCTTCTCTCTGTGGGGCTGAGATCATCGTGAGGAGAAACTTTAATCAACCATTCCCATTGATAAATGTGAAATTGTGACCATTATAAAAGTACCTGGAACTCTGAGCCGGCAGGATCTGAGTCTGGGACATGCTTCCCAACTCCTGACTATCCACAGCCTTCAGTCATGTGCACCGTGACTTCTTGATCAGATTATAAACTCTCAGAGCATTTTTTTTAAACCTTAGACTATCCTTTTAGTTTTGAGATCCTTTCCAAGTATCCAAAACAGTAAATTATTAGGATATGCTTATTTACAGCCGGGCGGTGGTGGTACATGCCTTTAATCCCAGCACTTGGGAGGCAGAGGCAGGTGGATTGCTGAGTTCGAGAGTTCGAGGCTAGCCTGGTCTACAGAGTGAGTTCCAGGACAGTCAGGGCTACACAGAGAAACCCTGTCTCAAAAAAAAAAAAAGGATATGCTTATTTCCATACTATATAAGTTTTGTAGATGTACCTAGATGTTTCAGATTTTGTTGTTTTTTTTTTTGTTTTTTTGTTTTTTTTAATTTTTAGATCCTACTGTATGGGAAACTACAGGGGTTTTTTTGTGTTTTGTTTTTTGTTTTAAATATCAGGCTGTAGTATTAAAGGACATTCAAACAAAGTAAAAATTCTCTACCAGCATTCCTAAAAACTACCTCAAGAGTACTTAAAATAGTTTTCTTCTTTTTCTCCCAGACAAGGTCTCATGTAGCTCAGGCTGGCTTCAAACTAACTTATTATGTAGCCAAGGATGCCCTTGAATTCATAATATTACTCTTCTATCTCCCAAGTGCAGGGGTGCAGGGATCACAGGTCATTTCCCATCATGCTTAGTTTTTTTGTTTTTTTTTGAATTTGTTGTTTCCCCCTTCCTCCCATTCTTCCTCCTCCTCCTCTTCCTCTTCCTCCTCTTCCTAGACAAGGTCTCACTCTGTAGCTCAGGTTCATCACCTCATTGCCTCAGCCTCCCAGGTGCTAACATTATAGAGATGAATCACCATGCCCAGCTTAAGACAACTGTCCAAGGAAAGACTAGCAAAAACCATTTCTATCTCTAGAAAAACAAAAACAACCTGAGCTTATGTCTACCTGTACTAAACCAATGCTATGCAGTTCTTTGCAAATTAAAAAAAAAGAAACCCCTCATGATAAAGTTATTAAACATAACAAACAAAAATCGGTTCAATGGTGCTGGAAAAGCAGCTTCGCTTTCACTTACATCCCGGAACTGAACCTTTCCAAGTTCTCCTAATTCACTGACACAGCAATAAGCAGCTTCGGACTGGAGAAATAGCTGGGCCAGAGTCATCTCCTCACTCCGGAAAAGCTCCCCCATGGTGGCGATGGTAGTTCACTCCAATCTGAGGCAGGAGAGAAAATGACGTGGCTTGAGAATTAACCTATAGGACCAAGAACAAACAATAACCTAGGTGAGATCCTTTTCTTGCATGCCCCCGGGGGGTGGGGGGAGTCTTAACACCCTTGCTATCTGGCTTAGAAAGGTGCAAAAGAGAAATTGCCAAAAGCGGTTACTAAATCCCAGACTAGGGACCCTAGACTAAGAGTCATTTCCTTTGTAATCAAGCCAAGAAATCAAGTTTGACTGACAGTGTTTTGGAGCAACACAATACAAAAGAATATATGCAGAATAAGGACAGGAACTGAGAACCCCAAAAAGTTCTTTAATATGAAGCACTGACATTCACAGTACTTGGGGGTTTGGATTTATTTTGTTTGAGACAGGGTCTTACTCAACCCACAGCCTGCCTCAAACTCAATATATAGTGGAGGTTGGCCTTAAACTCCTGATCCTCCTGCCTCCCACCTGTTTTTGTTTTTTGTTTTGCTTTCCTTCCACCCCCACCCCTGCCCCATATAGGGTTTCCTCTGTGTAGCCCTGGCTAACCTAAAACTCACTCTGTAGACCAGGCTGGCCTCGAACTCACAGAGATCCACTTGCCTCTCTGTGTCTGAGTGCTTGGCTAGTGAGCTACCATCAATGGCACTGCCTCCATCTCTTTAAAGCTGGGATTGCAGGGATACATCAACATGCCCAGAGCTTTTTGTCCTTGCTGTTTGCTTTTTCACACTCGACACAAATTTTCTTGCTAAACCCCTCCTCCTCTTTATTGTTTCATTTTGGGGTTGTTTTTGTTTTGTGAGCAGGAAACAATAAAAGAGACTTTAATTACCCTCTTATATAAAAGATGTGACTGGCTTCCCCTCTCACTGCCAATGCCCATTTCCAACATCTAAAATTCCCAGCACTATCCGAAAGCTATGGCTAAAGGGATCGAGCTTCCAAACTCCTGGGAAAACAGTATTCCTCTCCTAAGGAATCCCAGAACATTAACATCACTTTTAGGAAGACAAAGGAGCCCACACAGCTTAATTTCAATTCAGGCATGACAGGAAAACATCGGTAATGACAAAGCACTTTTAACAAGCCAGACGAAAAGCTTTCCACTTCTGCAGCTTCCTACGACTCATCCCCATTCTCTAGACAACTGCCTTCTTCCATCTGTCACATCTCTCATAGGAGCCTGAAGGTTTCCGTTCAGGTCAGCGGCTGGCGCTATCAGTGGTACTGAAAATGCAATTATTTATTCGCGATAAGCTCCCGTTCAGCTTAAACGTTCAGCACCGTCTGCAACATCTATCCTCAGCAGATCATACACTGCATCACTTTTAATGTCCTAACGTCACGCATCTTCCATGTTAACTGATAGGGAAGACGGATGTTTCAGAGATTTGCTTGATCTTCGGGAAGGCAGGAAGACATTTTGAGGAGCCTGAATGACAATTCTTTTCTGCATTTGGTGTTCAAGGAGAGCAAATCAACACACTCGACTAAAGCAAGCATTTCTCAAGAGATTATGTGCGTCGACTTAAGAATCTGAATCACCCACAGCAGCTATAACCAGTCCTCTCCACCTTGAACAAGGATAAAAGCCACAACCTCAAAAATAAATGAAATCATGTCTGACAGGCATAGACTAGGAGCTGAGAGGGATGACAGCCTCCAATGAGTTGCCGCCCTCCTCCTGTTCCTTCATGATTACAGGCCTCTCCAAGACTATCTCTACCCCCACTGAAACCAAACACAAAACAAATTTGGAAAAGCAGTTTCGGGGCGGGGGGGAGTGTCGCGAAATGAAATGCGAAGAAAGAGTAATTCTGCAAAAGGGTGATCAAAACCCAAGGTCCTCCCAGGAGGACTCTCGTGTTTTCCAACCCTCCCTTCCTAGCAGGGAGCACCTCTAGTCGTTCACCTCTTCATTTCTAGGCTGCACAGTGAGAAAGCAGAAAATTTCTGGACCAGGCATAACCTGTCTCCTGGTTAAGGGAGAAATCCCCAAATTGTAAGACCCTTTAAGACATCCTCCCCAGATCCCTCTGCCTATTCGATCTCCTCTGTCCTTTCGCCTCCTCCCCTCCCGGGTCATCCCTGGGCAGTGGCCCTCCAGTTCCTCTGCCCACAGGAAGAGTGTCCGAAGAGGGAGATGAGCCCCCATATTTCTCTCAGAGACCTAAGATCCTGGCTAATTCTTCTGACAAGCGTCCGAGGTATCGGAGTGCGCTCCACGTCCCCTCGAAGGCCACTCGGGGAAGCGCTCTTTCTACAACCCTCGCTCACCTCTCGCCCGCTCCGCCGCCGCGACCGCAGCCGCCGCAGCAAAGCCCCCGGCTCAGGCTGAGCAGAGTCGCCGATCAGCGTACGCAAGCAAAGCTCCGCCCCCACGCCACCGCCGAGTCCCGCCCCCAAGATGACTTCATCTCAATTGACCAATGGGGCGCTGCCTCTCCCCTGCTGCCGCAGTGCAGAGTCTATGGGGCTCGGGCGAGTCCTGGTGTGCAGTCGCCATCTTTGTTCCGGCGTTGTGATTTCTATCCCAGTTTGGAAGTCATCGGGGCTGGGCGTGTGACTTTTGAAGTGTTTGCCTTCTAAGCCCATTAGAATCCTATCTCTCTATTATCCTCGGAGCAAGGTTACCTGCCATCTCTACTTTCCAGAGAACCATTTCCCAACCTTTTCTTGGAGAAAGAAATGAGCACAGAATAGAATGATCTGAGAGGTGCAGGGGGCCTCAAAGCTCGTCTTCTCTCCATACACGCATCCTTTGTTGTTCTTAGACCTCTGAAAATATTTGAGCCCCAGACTGGAGAGCAACTTAAGATAAATCCTATAATAGAGACATACGATCTCGTCCACTTACAAAGTATCAGTCCATTCTTTCAGCAGCTATCTAGGATTTACACTTTAAATGATAAGCCCCGGAAGATAATACGTTGACAAAGTAATTATTTTTATCTTGCTTACTAGGGTACTGTGAACCCATCTGACCACGTAGGAGTTTTCAGTTCCTCATATATCTTTTTGAATGCAAATGATACCTACCTATTCTTTTTTAAAGCTCCTTTTCTAAATATTGATAGAGTCCTTTTTCCTCTATTAGAGAGGAGTAGGGAGTCAGCAGAAACATCAGGAGGAACTCGGAGAACTGGTCAGTCAGTCTCTGTGGGTGGCGGAACTCATTGAGATTCAAGTGTAGTGAAAGATGTATTTCGGATTAAAAAAGAAAAAAACAACTTGTACTGATAATTTTGTCTGCCTGGCAAAAGTATTACAAAACGTATTTTGTGAGCCCGAACAAAATGATGGACACAGTGGACATTTTATTTGAATTTTCTACTGCATATGGTAATCGCTTCGTTACAATTCTCTTGAGAAGGAGCATTTCTGAGACCTAGATTTTTACCATTTTCACATTTCGCAGCTCCTTCTACTTTCCTGGCAAGGCAGACAGGACCTACAATTGAAATCCTGCCAAGTATTTCACAGTGACTCTCACTTCCTTCCTCACAGACTTGAAAAAAAAAGCTAACCTCAGAGTCAGCTGCTTCCTAACCACAAGCAAATGTTTCATATACACTACCTGTAAGAAAGCCTATCCTGGACTATAATTCACTTGAACTGTTTCTACACCTTGCACCGTGGTTTCCCTGAAAGCACAAGCTCTTAGAAGTCCTATAATAATAATAATGATAATAACAATAAAAATATATCAGGTGTGTTTGTGTGCATGCGTCCCATGGTGTAGGTATGGAGATCAGAGAACAACTTAGTGGGAGTTGGTTCTCCCTTTAACCCTGTGTTACCCGGGGATTGAACTCAGGCATCAGACTTGTCAGAAAATCTTTAACCTGTTAAGCTGCTGCTCCTTTTCTTTTTCATCTTCTGCCAGACACCTTTCCTCAGTGTTCATTCACTTTCTTTCCATGCTCTATTCCTGGCCATCTTGCCTCTCACTAATTTCAAATGTCTATGATTTGGCATTCATGTCTATTTTTCTACCCACCACCTTTCTCTATGGTCAGAGAGGGCATTTCTGTCTGTTAGATAATACCTCATGGGTAATATATTTGCTGAAGTCTACAACTATGAACCAAACAGTATTAGGTACTGCAGATACGAAAATGGAGCAGGTAGGTACATTTTCCATTCAAAAAAAAAAAAAACCTTGAGAAGTACATTTCAATATGAGAGAGAGAGAGAGAGAGAGAGAGAGAGAGAGAGAGAGAGAGAGAGAGAAGGAGGAATAGTTCACACCTGTAGTAACCCTAGTAATTTGGAATGCTGATGCAGGAAGGTTGCCTCCTTAGCTCCAAGGCTAAGTAGATCAACAAAGATCTAAAGAAATTACAAGGGAGAGAGGTGAGTGTAATGATTAATACTGTACTATGTGCCAGGAAATTTCCTCAATGCTTTGTAAATACAGACTTGTTTAACTATTGAAATCACCCTAGGAGGTAGATAAACCCATTTATCAGAGGATATGGCCGGTTTGAGGCATTATCCAACAAGATAAAAATGTAAATTCTTTTGAAGCTGGGGGTATGGCTCAGAGATAAAAACACATGCTTACCATGAATGAGGTTCAATTCCAAGCATAGAAAAAAAAAGTAATGAGGTGTTGTAAGGTCAGGAGTATTGGTGTATCGTTAAGTACCTGCGGTCTACTGACTGTGGGAAGTTGAGGCAGTAGAATCATTGATTCCAGAATTTCTAGGCTGGCTTGGGCAACAGGGTGATACCCAATCTCACAAAAACAAAACAAGCCAAAGCAATAAAAAGATAAAATAAGATGTTGAATACGCCTACCACCCTAAAAGATCTTAGCAATTCCATCTGAGACTTAGGCACAGCTATCAAGTATAAACTGAGCTTTGGCTTAGATACCTAAATAACAAAGATTAATTAATTCTTCACTATCAAGACAAAGTAGATGGCAGATGTAAGGATCAAAGTAATAGAGCAATGGAAAGTCACAAGCGAGATGAGAGTCCTGTGCTTGTTCGAGCACGTAAGCACTCGTCCACACATGATAGACAGACAGACAAACAGACAGATAATTTAAGTCATAAACAGAAGCCATACTGGCCAGTGTCTGTAGTCCTCGTATTGAGAGATGGAAACAGGAGGATCAAGAGTTCAAGGACAGTCTCAGCTACATGAGATTCTGTTTCAAAAACTAAACACAAAGTTACAAGAATTGTTACTGTAGTTATAATAAATACAGAAGGCTTTTTTTCTTTCTATTTTCCCTTTGAATGAATGTGTGGCAAATTATCTAAATTGTCACCAGTGAGGAGTTAGTTCTCTTTCTAAATCTATGCAACTTAGATTTCCATGGGGCCCAGAGGAGAGTAATTAAGTGTTTTGAAGTATAATATTTGCTCATATCACTCCTGTCCAACTTTCTGGATGACTGTCCTTAAACTACCGTAATAATCACAGAATGGGTAGATAATTTGTGAAGGGTTTTGGCGGTGGAGGTTTTGTTGTACAGGGTCTCATGTAGCTCAGGCTGGCCTGGAGCTCACTATGTAACTGAGGCTAGCTTGCAACTTCCAATCCTCCTGCCTTTACTTCCCATGGGCTGGTATTGCTGGAGTAGCCCACTGATTTGGCTTAGATTCTGACAATTCTAGGGGCTACAGATTTGAACAAAGGTATCTGTGTAGTCGAAATTCTGAAAAGATTTCTTCCATTTTTTTCACAGCTCCTGGTGATGCTTACCAGTCAGTGGTATTCCTTGGCTTTCAGATGAATCACTCTGGGGATACACTGGAATCCACACCTTTTTTTCATGTACCATTCTTTTCTTCATGTATTTTTTATGTCCACATTTTCTCAATCTTATGGGGACATCAGTTACTAGATTACAACCCACATGAGTCCAATAGGGCCTTGTTTTAATTACATTTCAAAAATACCCAGCCGGGCAGTGGTGGCGCACGCCTTTAATCCCAGCACTTGGGAGGCAGAGGCAGGTGGATTTCTGAGTTCGAGGGCAGCCTGGTCTACAGAGTGAGTTCCAGGACAGCCAGGGCTAAACAGAGAAACCCTGTCTTGAAAAACCAAAAAAAAAAAAAAAAAAAAAAAAAAAAAAAAATACCCTACTCCCAAATAAGGAGACAGTCACAGGTTTAGATTAGCTGTAAATTTGAGGGACAATTGTTCAATCCATTATACCTCTTGTATAGATTTTGGTAAAGAAATTTGCTGTACATGACTTTTCAACTGTAGGAATTTATAGGAGTTAGGCTTTCACTCTGTGGTAGTGTCCTTGCCTAGAAAGTACAAGGTTCTGGTTTGGTCCTAAGATCTGAGAGATTTAAAAGGAAAGAAAGAAAGGAAAGAAAGAAAGAAAGAAAGAAAGAAAGAAAGAAAGAAAGAAAAGAAAAGAAAAAAAGAATTTATTTCTGAGAGCTGTGGAGATTGCTCATTTAGTAAAGACCTTGCCACACAAGCATGAGAATCTGACTTCAGTCCCCAGGACTCATATAAAAAGAAGCCAGGCATGGTGCTCACGAATAATCCTGTCTCTGGGGAAAAAGAGACAAGAGGATCCCTGGGACTCACTAATCAGTCAGACTAGTCTAATTGACTGTGGTGGCACATGCCTTTAATCCCAGGATTTGGGAGACACAGGCAGATTTCTGTGAGTTTGAAACCAGCCTGATCTACATGGTGAGTCCCTGGACACCCAGAGGTACATAGTGAGACCTTGTTTCAAAAATTAAGAATAATAAAATAAGTAGTTGGACGAACCGGAGGAACGGCACATGTGTTGAGTTTGATCTACATAGGTACACACACACACACGTGTACACACATATACATACATGCACATGCATGCACACACACATACATGCTGCACTCACGTGTACACACACTTACAGACACACAATTGATCTCTGCACTTTTTGAAAGACCAGAATAATCAATGATCATCTGTATCTAGTCCAATAATTTTAAAGTATCTTCCTGTTGTATAAAAAATAGATTCTATTTCTTACCTTGTTCAGTAAAGAATCTGAGTTTGAGGCAGGATAACCTTGTCTGAGGCAAGAATCTTTACGTTTCCTAACTAAACCTTTGGACGTTCTTGAGGAGTTGATTGGCAGTTTGTTTCCATGGAAGGGGTCTATTTTTTAATTTTACCCTTGAGTTTCCCAAAATAACTGAGTGTTAACTCAGGCTTTTACTTTCTTTCTTATTTTTTTTTCAATTAAATGTTGTCCTTTTTTAAAAAAATAATTCTTTTATTGGATATTTTATTTACATTTCAGTTGTTATCCCCTTTCCCCATTCCCCCTGCCACCCCGCCCAGAGGCTTTTACTTTCAAATCTCAAGAATGTTTAAG